ATATTATATTATATTATATTATATTATATTATATTATATTATATTATTATTATTATTATTATTATATATTACATATATTTGTATTTTTCAAGATGTATGTGACCCTGATGTTCCGGACCAAAGGAACCCGACTGATGAAGCCCACCATATGCTTGGTGCTGCTCTCTCTGGCTGTGCTGGTGGGAGTAGTCAGGGTGACTGAACACAGAAACCATTGGAATGACATCCTGGCTGGATTTGTGACGGGAGGGGCCATCGCTGCATTCCTGGTGAGAGGAAGCAAAGAGAAGAGGCAGAGGGTATAAAGGATAATGCATGCAATCCCACCTGAAACTGCTGATCCCTTTGCTTAGAATCCTTCCCTCCCCTCCACACAAACAGGCCCTTTGTGACAGTAACAAAAAGGTGGCCCCACTTTGAGGGGGTTTCAGCAGTTTTGTCATAGAAATGTACTCTATTAAATTACCAGTAATGTGTACGTAAAAATGTTGAAGAAGACTCTTTTGCATTGTTTGTGGTGTGCTGTGTACCACACATTACACCAATATTTACTAATGAATTAGCATGTCTTAAATTTTTGTACTTTGCGGTGGCTGTGATGGCTACCAAAAAGCAAGAGCACTGCAAAAGATAAAAAAATGTGTTAACTCAAGCTAATCTCTTAAAACGACCAGGGTAGGACATTATATGATGCTGATTCACAAGACACAATTCTTAATTTACCGCAGGAACCCTAAAACCACCTGTGGTTGCCAACTTAGACGATGCAATCATTTCACTTTCTTGAGCTAAATAAACTATTTAACATAAACATCTACAAGTGAAGCTAGTTCTATGAGAATAATGCTCTCACTCAGCATCCGTTTCTTCCAAAGCATCTTTAAAAAATCATAATACCTTAGCAATTTTAACCTGAATGTGTTAAAATTGCTCACAAAATGAGCCACTCCAGCGTTTGTTTTTTTATTTCTTTATTCTTAAAACAACCTAACAATTCTTATTTTCTCTTTACTCGACATAGTTTAGTGATGTACAGAAAATAAACCTAAATAATAAAAAAATAATCTCCCAATGGCTCTCAACTTATTAAGTTTTACAAGTTATTAACTTAACCAAAGTTTGTGCCACACTTTGAACTTCATGCAATATCTCTCCCCTCTTTTTTCCTCTTGCTCTATCTTTTTTGCCATCCATCAGGTGTCATGTGTGATTAACAACTTCAAGCCAACCCAGATAGCAGGGCCTCATCCGCATCCACATCCTCCACCTCCACCCCCACACTGTCAGCGTTCAGAGCCCTCAGTTGGACTGCCTCTGCTCAGCCTGCCCCGTGTGGAAAGCCCACTTGAAAAGTTAAGTGGCCTCCAGGTAAGGGTTGGGGTTCAGAAATGTATTTGAAATTTGCGCTGAGGCGAGACAAATACAGTGGGGGCAATAAGTATTTGACCCCTTTCTGATTTTGCAGGTTTGCCCACTTACAAAGAATGCAACGATTTATAACTTTAATCATATGCACATTCTAACAGTGAAAGACAGAATCCCAAAGAAAATTCCAGAAAATCACATCATATGAATTTCTAAAAATTGATAACCATCAGGAAAAATAGGCATTCTTTGTAAGTGGGCAAACCTGCAAAATCAGCAAGGGGTCAAATACTTATTTCCCCCACTGTAATTGCAGTGTTTTTAATTTAATGCAGTCTTTTCTGTTCAATTAACTTTGAATTCTCAGTCCTTTTTTGGACATTGTCACTAGAATCTTTTACGCTTTGACATCTAATTATTTTTCAAGAGGTTTAATGCAGCCAATTCCCTCTCCGTGTCTCTCCCGCCTGTATTCTCTCCTACGTACAGGCTCCAGGGTTACCGTATTCTGAGATCACATGACCATCAGCCAACCCCGTCCCCCGTCCCTCCAGATGTGCTCCTCCCGCCAAGACGTTGCCTCACCAGCGCAGTCTAGACCTGCCCACTGAATGCCCCATGCCATGCCCCGCCCACCCGGAAGGACGAAAACCTCTGCGACGAGTCAAATCCACCCAGGTGTGAGACTGAATTTTGTCCTCCGATCAGGCCCAACAGGAAAATATAGACTTTCTTTCCCTCTCTGTGCTGTCCTGTTTGTCCCTGAAGACGGGCTCATTTTCCTCTGGGTGGTAATGACCCCCCCACGCAAAGCCTCCTTAAAGCCAGAGCTGTTAAAGCAATACTGTGTCCTGTTACCTTGTGCGGTTAAACAGCGACTCTATAGACTGTTGGCTGGTGATGACTTGATATTTCCAATCAAAGAAGAAAAAAAAAAAACACTCAGCTGAGCTGAGGGTCACAAGTGGATTTTCCTAAAGACCATTTTTTAATACTCAGGACAATAAATGGAAACAAGCAAAGGACACAAATTAAAAAAATAGAGACCTATGTGTCATTAGATAGCAGGGATAGTCGAGGATTAAGGTACAGATTTGCTGTAAGAGAGGGAAGCATTTCTGTAAATTATGGCACAGATTAACTGATTTAGTGTTCAGTAAACTGCTTTGTATCTTCTTTTTGTGTTTTACTTTTGATTGCGTGAGGTGATAGGCGAGAGATTTTTTTACACACTAGAGCTGTGCTTGTGATACCACATTTGTTTTGGGACTCCAGTCTTACCCCATATGTACTACTTATTGTTCAGGTGTTTGTGTTTGGGAAGATTATTCATTTGGTGTCCACAAGTCCAAATGTGACTTTTTTTTTTAAAGTTTAAGAATTGCTTACAATACTATGAACCTATTTGATTGACCTAAATTATATATATAATTTAGGTACATTATATTTCGTACATTTATATCAGGTGGCTCTGAGGAGCGGTTCAGTACTGTTTCATTCTACTCACCCAGTTCAGTCGTCACCAGTATTTCCCTACTTCTGTCCATCATCACCTCATCAGGCTGACTGGATAAAGGTAATGCACATACCTTTGTGTGTAACACAGAGGTGTGAGTTCTAGGTTTTTGTATAATTTTGTACAGTACATAAGTTTCTTTACAGAGTATTTACAACGCTCTTGTTCGGTTTGAAGTGTGTGAACAATGTGAAGCCACATGACGCCGTGCAGTGCTGGGATCTAAAGTAAAAAGTGGGGGACTAGCGCAGTGCGGATGTTTGAGGAGTCTAACTTCCATACGATCTGAGTGCACACAACCCGTTCTATTCCACTGAATTCAAAGGACACTGCAGGTTATGCTACTATTTTGAAATCGGTTTTACAGAAGATATTTTAATGGATTTATTCACTGTGTGTTTGTGCATGTGTGAGTGCGTTTACGTGTGCTTATTGGGATGTGTGTGTGCGTATTTATAATGAGCACATTGTATGGCAGCACAACTGTTAATTTGGCAATCTGTTTTCTTAAGATAAACTGTCAAAAGTAGCTGCTATAATTATCGACTTGTGCTTGTGTGTGAGTGCAGGCCTCTGAAGGACCCCTGCCAAGGCGTCCTAACAATGCCTGTTATAGCAGAAGGTGCTTATTATAGTTCCGAGATAACAAACATTTTCATTTTCAGACCAGTTTTTTTCTTTTTCGGAAACAACTGAAGAGAATGAGCACATCTTATCTGTACAAATATTGTTATTTTCATGTTTCAAGTCTCTAAGTTCTAAGTTTTGTATTTTATTTACCAAAATAAATTACAATTATCACACTTTTTGGTGAGAATCTTTTAATGGGGATCCATCAGTGATGTTATGCAAGGAGCCACAAACCTTCTCAAAAAGTACTTGCTTTGAATTAGCCTTTGCCTTATGTCAAATATTTGGTTTAATCAACAGGTGTAATCGACATTTCTTTACAGATTCTCCACCATATATCTACGCTAATAAAATAGACTGAAGGAGATCAAAGGGAATTGAGCCTCTTCTGTCATATTTCTGTAATTACACATCATATTAAGGATTTTGGGAGATAGAAAAGAATGGATTAGATTCTTAAGTAAGACAGTAAAGATTTGAAATAAGGAAACTATTCATGCAAGTTCACATACCGTCGTGTACTTCCATGTGAAATGAAAAACACACCATCTTCCGATTCTAAGGTTTTGAATAAGAAATACAAAAAAATACAGACATTTGGTCAATCTCAAAAACTCAATATTAAGTCTTTTCCATTAATTGATAAAGTGATTTCTAAAAAACTAAACAGACACCATGATTCGGCAGCTTTTGCAATCACCTTGAGCAGCAACAACATCAGTAATAATTTTCTCTAAGATATCAGTATATCAGAATATTTATGATTTATCTGTTTATTATTGAGGTTTGCTGGTGTTTGGACAAATCTCTAAAATGTTTCACTAGTACTTCCAGTCCAGTTTGAGGCCTGGAATGTGAGTGACCCATTGGAACATGGTTCTTTTCTTTTTCATTCATTACGATTAGTTGCTGTGCTTGAAATTAAATTGTTGTTGCATGATCCAACTTCAACCAAATTAGCTGTTAGGCAATTGGTCGTAAAATTGGACTAATATCGACTTGATGACGGCAAGGTGTCCAATTCCAAATGGCAATTGCAGGGACTTCCAGACTTGCAACTGCCATTGAATTTTTATTTCATTTTTTGAATGACCCTTCTTACTGTATAATGGAGTCCTGTTTTAAATTAACTTTTGACCCTTTCCAGACTAATGAGCATGAAAAGATACTTCTCTAAGATGATTGCTAATGCCTTTTCTTAACACACACCTGAATGTTTTGAACCAGCAAAATGATTTAACATCTGCTTTTATTGAGGTACTCACACCCTTGATGATCAAATAATTAAAAGTAATTCTGAGTCGGATTCTGATAACCCTTTTAAATCATATTTAAGTAGTGTGGGTAGTATTCATTGCTTTCTTTCATTTACTTCTAGTGGATTTTGTATTATCCACCCATTTTGAATATTAAATCTATCCGATTCAGGTCACAGAAGACAGGTGCTGGTAGGTGTGATGCAAAGGTACCAAGTCTATCAAAGGACCAAACCAGAGACGTGTCATCAAATTAGAATCAGCCGTTGAACAAAACTGTTTCACTGTTTTTTCACAGGGAGAACAATGAAGCTCCTCATACAAGAAGCCTTTTTGTTTTGAGTAAACCGTGCTAACAACATTGGATCTGTTTATTTTTCTTAGCTCTATGACTTGGTAAAGTTTAGATATTAATATTTATTTGCACGCATACACACACACACAAAATGTATTTCTAACCTATAAATTATAAACTGAAGTAATATTATTTGATTAAACTAGAAAAGTTATTAACTCCTAACCTACTTTCTAACTTAAACTTAAATTAATATGTATCTGTCCTTATATTGACAAAGCATTTGAGCGCTGAAGATCCAAGGCCATAAAAAAACATGGCCTTAAATAAATCCTTGATACATTTAGTGATGTTTTCCCAACTCAACAGGTCTATCATTACAATAACTGATTGGGGATTTACCTCCTGCGTGACCATCCTATTAGAAGATGTTGTAATTGCAGGCTGTTGGCACAAGGTAGCAGTGTTTACCATGCCTAATGCAAGACAGAAGCATTCAGAAGAATTTACAAGATCTGTGATCTCAAATGGCAAATAAAGAAGATAAACATGAACAAAAACTAAATTATTTAAAATCTTTTCACTTGAGACTTCTGATGGCCCACAGTGGGCGTCAGTCATCAAGCCAATAAATGTATTGTAGTGGCACAATTACTCTGAAATATAGACACAGACAATTTCTCTTTTTGTCTGTCTCACTAAATTGCCCCAATCTCTTCCCGCCTCCTCTTTGTGCTCCTTTGAATTTGTGGTTGTCAACCTTGTTAACGTCAAGACGCGCACACATACACACAACTGTCTGGACTCTCAACAACATTATCTTTTCCGGAAATTGCTCAAGCACAGCCAGAGCCCCATTAGAAAAGAAGAGCTCTATGCTGTAACCTTTTTAAAAAGCCATTAGTGATGCACCTGCCTGCCTCTTTCTCTCTCTCTCTCTCCATTCCTATTTGTGTGTCCTATTTGTCTCTCTTGTTAACACTGACACACACACACACATGTTTTTTTTCCCATCCTGATTGCCAGCATCCCCATTTCCAATCCTACAAACCAACTGCGGAGCATAATAAACACACTTCCTCTCCAATTACACCCTGAATCTCTCGTATCTTTAAGTTCTGCCTCAGCGTGCAGACCCCATCCACTGAATTATTCATGTATGTTATTCAAATGGCATGTTACCCTTTTTTGCGACATGACAAAAAAATCTACCTTGAAATTAAGAGGAAAATTAATAATATGTAGTGTCAGTGAAGCGAAAACAGTTTACTTCATTAGGGATACATCAGGAAGATTGTGTTACGATTAGTGAGGAACACTCAAACGTCAGTGGTTATGACATGACAGTATGTACACAGGGCATAGGGCATAGGAATTGGTTTTGGTTTTTTGTCCATTTATTATAGAGCAGTCTAGCTAAGAGCAAAGGAAATTATAAGGGGTTAGTACAAACCATTCGTTGTCATTTGAGGACATACTGATTCACAGTAAAGATAATTCTGTTCTTCGTCATATTTTTCTGTCTTAAACTTAACTGAGCTACTGACCAAAAAGCTTCTTCATGAACAAGCATGAGTTATTCCTTTATTATTTTTTCATCTCTTAAGCAGGTAAAGGATCGTGAGTGTCTTCCAACAATAATGTTTGTACTTGGAAGCCATTGCCTCTCTGTATAAATGAAACTGGGAATTTTGTGTTTTAAGAAAGAAATCAAATATATCACAGAGATATAGAAAAATATAAGAAGTGACCAAATAAAGAATTTGGTGCATTCAGAGGAAGGAGAAAAACACTAATGAGCTCTGCGACATAAAAGAGTCATCTACAGAGGACAATAGAGCTGGATGAGAGCGTGTTCCTCTCCGTGGTAAAGAAAACCTTCATAACATCAATCCAGATGA